TGGAGGGTTTTGGTGAGGCGTGGTAACTGTATACAACAAAATGTTAAGACCGTTGTGGATGTGTGAACCAGGCTAAAATGATTAAAGATACATCTATGCAAATATTAGGGAAAAAAATGATCAGAAAGTGTTTAGAAAGAGCTGAACAAAAATTAATAGCGAGACTTTGGGAATGGGTGGATTGAACAAGAACATTAGCATTTTTCTGTATTTTGTAGATGGTGAGAACGGTTGCCAGGCTTTTGAAACATTAAAATAATGAGAAAAGAGAATATTAAAGTGATAAGATGTGTTGGGGAAAAGGTAAAAGAGAGACTCAGATTGTGGAAGGGGGCTGTCTTCAGTGTATATGAGATTATATATGATAAAAAGCCAGCAAGTTAGTTCAGGGGATTAAAACTCGGTTGGGCAGCTGAACCTTTAGGGAAGTTTACAAACAAAACAAAGCCAGTCTCTGCCCTCATTGTAGATACACTGTGATTTCAGATGATGGCATTGGGGGATTCAAGTTTTCAAAAAGCCTTGATAATTACCAGATAATTTTGATGCCCTTTCAGGTCTTTCAGATCTCGGCAAATGGCAGATGGGGGGATCAAGATCCTGGCGGGGTGGGTCCAAGCATCAGGCTTTTGAGGACTCTGTCTGTTCTTTCACTTGACTGAGACTCCATCTATGGTTCAGGCTTTTTCTCTAACATTTGCGGTTAGGAACCATCTCAGTCATCCTCCTTAATCTTTATTTAAATACCATAACTCAAGTAGCACTATAGCACTGTCGTCCCGTTGTTCATCGATTTGCTCAAGCGAGCACCAGTAATGTCTCCATTGTGAGACTTGTTATCACTGTTTTTGGCATATCAATTACTTGGGGGAGCTTGGCAGGCTCTGCCGTGTGGGCGGGATACGCTCGGTAGCTTGCTGGGCTCTCCTGGAGGGACGGATGAATGGAACCCGGGTTGGCCGTGTGCAAGGCAAATACCCTACCTGCTGTGCTATCGCTCCAGTCCTGGTAACTCAAGTACCACATTTTAATATTGTTTATGATATTTTCATGCATACATCATCCCAACACCACCCCCACCCCAGACTGCCCACTTCCCTCCACCAATGTCTCAAGGCCCTAAACTTATTTATATCATTTACAGAACATATTCCTAATGACTGGTTTGAAACAAGCTCTGCCTCATCCCCGCTATCTCTCCACTGCTTCACACCTAGAATCTTCTATGGAAATGATTTTGATATCATTTTAATTTTTTTTAGAAACCAGAGGGCAACTGTGAGGCTAGTGAGTTAAATGCCCTTGGTTTATGTCAGGTGCGTTCAGTTCATGGAAAGGCCTTAGAACAAATTTGCCATCTTTGTGTCTGTTGGCGGGACTTCCTCTCAGCATGCTTTTTTTTTTCTTTTTCTTTTTGGATCACACTTGGCAATGCACAGGGGTCACTCCTGGCTCTGCCCTCAGGAATTACCCCTGGCGGTGCTTGGGGGAACATATGGGATACTGGGAATCGAACCTGGGTTGGCCGTGTGCAAGGCAACGCCCTACCCTCTGTGCTATTGCTCTAGCCCCTCAGGATGCTCTTAGTGAGACTAAAGGCCCACATCTCCACCAGCATTTCCTCTAGCCTTAAACGTTAACTTTGAAACTAGAAGATTTCTTAGAAGCCCCTTAAGTGCAGTGATTTTCCAATTGGGCTAGAGAAGAAACTTTCCTACAGCTGAATCTTGCCTTGGATGGCCCTTTGAAAAAATGGCTATATTGAGCCTATGGTGTTTGAACAGAGTGGGAGCTTAGAGACTTCTTCCTCTCTCCCTTGTAGGTGGATCCTCAGGGTCATGCTCCTGTTCATGGCAGCAGTTTCCAAAACTCTGCTCTGCCCTGTGCTCTTGGGAGTCTAATTAAAAAACCTGTGTAGACAGACATCCTCCAGATCCAGCTCTTCTAGTACCCTTTCTTTCCAGGGTACCATGCTGGCCCAAGTCACCCCCAATTCCACCACCTTCATGGTCCCCTTCAAATGGAGTTGGGATGGGAGAGAGTTTTCCTTCAACTCCTTCATAGAAATAAATACCTTATAACTTCTAAGTGCTGTTTGGATTAGCCACGTATGACCTCTCCGAGTCTAACTCTAGCCACTGTATTGCTTTTTAAATTATTGCTATATGGTCCACATATGATAGTACTAAGTGGCCATGCACGTAGGGTGCCTTGTATGTGCTTGGCGTGTGCTCTACTGCTTGAGCTGTATCCTTGATCCCCTACATAGGTTTCTAGTCTCTAAGCTGAACTTCCTTCTACTTCTGACCTTTGCTCTGAGCTTTCCTTGGCCTAAGGTTGCTCCATTTCCCTTGTCTGGAGATAAGTTCTGCTTCTCCTTCAGAATCTGTTCCAACGCAGTAGCATTTCTCTGACATCCCTGAGTTAGCAAGAACCTGTTAAAGCCCCTCTCACAGACTTTATCTCCTCAGCAGTAACCTCTACTCCAATTAGGTAATTAGTGACGCAGTGAGTTGGTCTTGCCCCTTCAGATAGAGAAGGTAAACTCCATAAGGGCTGGAATAACTGTTTCAAAGTCCCAGTGACTAGCACGTTGGGCCTGTCATAAATATTTCCCTATTGAAACCACAATGTCTCGTTCTCTGCTTATCTAGTGCACAGCCGAGGCAGAACTGCTTAGGCATGTTTGTTAGCTGTTTTCCCAGGAGCTGGATTAATGTCCTGTAGCATGAGGTCATCTGAAAACTCATTTTTTGAGCCGTTTTGTCTAAAGTGGGTTACCTAGTATGATACACTTGGAAAAGCCCTGAACTTTGCTTTTAGTTATTTTCACGATATAAAATCGCTTAATTTAGGGAATATAGAAAGAGAGAGAGTTATATGCCTAAGAGGGAAGGTGAGTTTCTCCAGAGGGGAGAGAGCCAAGCGTGCCCATAACGGAAAGAAAGGAGTTCCGCCTCAGGATGCAATACATCTGACCCCATGAGTGGGGAATGTGTCTGAACTTTGCTTTAACTTAAACATCAGTTTTTTTTTTTTTTTTTTTTGCTTTTTGGGTCACACTCAGTGATGCTCCTGGCACTCAGGAATCACTCCTGGCAGTGCTCGGGGGACCATATGGGATGCTTGGGATCAAACTTGGGTCGGCAGCGTGCAAGGCAAACGCCCTACCCTCTGTTATCGCTCCAGCCCCAACACCAGTTATTCTAAATGTGAACAAAGAATTGAGAAATCTACAGTAAATGGGGGAAGACTAGGAGTACCTTGGCTTTGCCTCTTACTAGGGGGGTACCTCTGGAATTGATACGGATTCTAAAAGCCTCCCTTTTCTAGGGAGGTCGTGCGCACCTCGGGTAGATTCAGGAAACTATAGGTTGCCAAGTTTTGCCCCCACGTCGGGGTACCCCAAGGCTGTTGACATCCCAGTGCTCTGCTGGTCCTCCTGCAGTGAACCCCAGACTGAAGCTCTCTGCTCAGACTAGCCATTCTGTTCTTTGTTCATATGCAAAGGTGTAATAACCTATCATTTAGGCTATTTATATAATGCCTTTCAAATTTCCAGAACACTGTAGCTAGCTAAAACTTTGCACTTAGAAACTAGCTATGTCGGAACTTGGAGACGTCCAGGGGGGCAAAGCCATTTTGCATCCTCCCGGGCCAGGTCCCCAGTGTCGGAGAGATTGGAACATGATTTATTGCCATGTATTTGCTAAATGGAACCTGGAATGCATAAAATGGTGATGGACTTTGTTCCCTTGATCTAATGCATCTGCTCAGAACGGGGTTCTGGAACTGGTTTTGTAAGCAGAAGGACCTAGGAAAGGAGAAAAAAGTCACAGTTTAAAATGGAAGAGGAAAGAGAATTTACTGCACAGGAGACCTTTTTTTTTTCCCTCTGAAGTGTAAGATGAAATTGCTTCCTATCGAGTTAGAAAACCAATGCTGATTCCTTTTCTATCTCAGATTAAAGATGAATACAGTGCTCTACCTTGTGCCTGGATGCCACCATGGCTATTTTATAGTACATCCATGCTCTAGTGACTAGGACCGTCAAAGACTGAATAAAACAGGATATGCATCAACTCTGTTTTTCGAAGCTCACTTGGGATGTCAAAGTCTTGTCTCTCTTGCAAACATAACCAAAAACGCCTTTAGCTATACAGACTAAATCTTTAAAACACACACACACACACACACACACACACACTGCCATGTCTATTGGTTAGCTCTACCTGACTAATTGGGTGCTGTGGAAAGTAGCAGCTTGAAATATATGTCATTCTGCTTCTGCCTTGCTTTGCTGTGGTATCAAGAAATGACAGCTCAACAATTGGGTTGTGGAAAGAAGATAAGAGGTCTAGTTCATTACTTGCATTAGGATTTTGACTTCCACCATAGTGCTTTAAGTGCAGGCTCCAAAACGTTCTCACATTCATGTTCTCAATTGATTTTTACAATCCATTTGAGAGGCATCATTGGCTTCATGTTACAGAGGGAAAAATAAGAAGGTGAGGCAAAGAGATAGGAACATGATGAAAGTCTCACAGTAGAGCAGATCCAATGATGGAAGTGTGAGTCTCTATCCCTCTGTTTCTGTGATGTTTATGTTTCTGTGATGTGATATCATACCTGTGACAACACGGTTGGTACAGGTATGATATTTTAATAATACCAGTAATAATACCAGTCCTCCTGTTGTTCATCGATTTGCTCGAGCGGGCCTAGTAACGTCTCCATTGTGAGACTTCTTGTTACTGTGTTTGGCATATTGAATACTCTCAGTAGCTTGCCGGGCTCTCCAAGAGGGGCGGAGGAAGCGAACCTGGCTCAGCGGGCTGGCTGCGTGCAAGGCAAACGTCCTACCGCTGTGCTATCACTCCAGCTCATGATATTTTAATAGGAACATTAATGGTGCGGTGGGATTTTTCTCCCCTTTACCCTTCTATTTCTATATAATACCTACTGGTTTTTCTCACCCCCTCCCCTTTTCTTTCTTTCAGCTTGGATTCCTTAGCACCACCATGGCTCAATCAGAGCAGAAGTTCCCACCACTCACTGGCAAATACCACCATGTCGACCGAGCCACTGGCCAGGTGCTAACCTGTGACAAGTGTCCGGCAGGAACCTATGTCTCTGAGCACTGTACCAACACAAGCCTGCGTGTCTGCAGCAGCTGCCCCGCGGGGACCTTTACCAGGCATGAGAATGGCATAGAGAGATGCCATGACTGTAGTCAGCCATGCCCATGGCCAATGGTTGAAAAATTACCTTGTGCTGCCTTGACTGACCGAGAATGCACTTGCCCACATGGCATGTACCAGTCTAATGGTACCTGTGTCCCCCACACAGTATGTCCCCCAGGATGGGGTGTGCGGAAGAAAGGGACAGAGTTTGAGGACGTGCGGTGTAAGCAGTGCGCTCGGGGTACCTTCTCTGATGTGCCTTCTAGTGTAATGAAATGCAAAGCGTACACAGACTGTGTGAGTCAGAACCTGGTGGTGATCAAGCCGGGGACCAAGGAGGCAGACAACGTCTGTGGCACCCTCCAGTCTTCCTCCAGCACCACCCCTCCCTCCCCTGGCACAACCATCTCTTCACGCTCTGAGCACACGGAATCCCATGACGTCCCTTCCTCTACTTCCGTTCCCAAAGGTAACTTAACCTCATGAGAAAACTTTGTGCCCAGTCGGGGAATTAAGAACGGGGTGTGCAAGGCTGTTTTCTGAATTTGTGTGTTTTATAGTCAGATCTTGACAAAGGGGCCTCCATACTCTGGCTAATTAAATCTGGAACTGTTAGGAACACTTAATCTCTGGAATTTTCTGTTGGGGGGGGGTTGTCAGATATTGAGGATGGAAAGGTAAGATAGAAAATCACACCATAATAGAAAATAAGAATCAAGAGGCTTTTCTATTCTGCAAGAAGCCCACATTCTCTCTCGAACAAATATCTTTTTTTTTAATCTTTCCTCACACTTCTGTAAGTAAATTTCTTTCTTAGAGAAGCAAATAGAAAACTAGTTGTTTCACTTAGAGAAAAGGAAGGAAGAAAGGAAGGAATTAAAAAACCTTCAGGCTTTCATTTCAATCTTGTCAGTTATATGAGTGATTCAGATATTTAAGTGTCCTTCCAGATTTGAGTTTTCCTACATGGCACCCATTCTGGTGAGATAACCTGAAAGAAAGGAGGGAGATTGGAAGAAAATTCCATGATATCTAGAAGCGGGGCAAAGAATATTGAGTCCAGAGTGGGACAAAGGATGGGATAGAAGCTTCAGGGAACACAAATTTATAGCACATTGGAGGAAAACAAGCATTCACAACTGGAATACAAAATTTTTTTTAGAAATGATTTTAATTTATGCCTTACATCAAATATTTCATTCCCCCCCACACACCCCCACAGAATTTATTTTGTACTGTGGACAAAAGACAAAATTTGTTGTTTTTTTTTTAAATTTTCAGATTCTGGGGCTGGAGCCAATTGTTAAGGTGTTTGCACTGCACACGGCCAACCTTGGTTTGATTCCTTGGTTTGATTCCCAGTATCCCATAGGGTACCCCGAGCACTGCCAGGTGTGATTCCTGAGTGGATGAGCCAGGAGTAACCCCTGCATTACCGGGTGTGACCCTAAAATCAAGATAAAAAAAGTTTCAGATTCTCTTAAAACAAACGATTTTTGAGATAATAGCCAACTTGAACTGTGCTCGCCAGCATACTTTCATGTGTGATTACATGATAACCCCACAAGGAGGGTCTTTTAACTGTCGCAATTTTGAAATTAAGCAATAGCCTGAGAGACCTCAATGAACCATGCAGGTTTCTTAGATAGCTAATACAGGTCAGGTCCTGTCTCTTAAGACTCTAAATCCTGGCTTTCATGCTCCTTAATGAAGACAACTTGTGAAATTTTATCAATATTGTCTAAAAGAGGTTACTACAAACTGTAACCCCAGCTTTTGGCAGGGGTTGGGGCACATCCAGCAATGTTCAGGGTTATTCCTGGCTCTGTGTTCGGGAGTCAGTACTCGTGGGACCAGGTAGGGTGCTGGGGATCGAACCAGGTTGACTACATGCAAGGCAAATGATCTAACACCTTGGTCCAGTAAGATTTTTTTTATTTTTTTATTGGTTTGGGGGCTGCATCCTACAGTTCTCAGGGTTTACTATTGGCTCTGTGCTCAAGGATTACTCTTGGTGGGCTCAAGGGACCAGGTGAAGATGGAATGAACCTGGGTCTGCCATGTGTAAGGCAAACACCCTTCTGAACTATCACTTCCACCCCACTTATTTATTTATAAATAAATAAATCTTATTTATCTGTCAACAGCTGATACTCAGCAAGTCAGGCCTTATTTTATACACTGACTTCTCTCCCCAGACTTTTCACTGGTCCAACTTGGGTTCGAGTATGAGTTCCTTGTGGTACTCATATTCTTAATTTTACCCATTTCATCAAAATAGTCAAAAGGTGGCAGGAAAAATTACACTGGAACTAGTTCTCTTAATAATCAAAGCAACTAAGAGTTGCCTAAAAGTCAGAACATGCAGGCGCCTGCATGGTGTACAGAGCACAGGAGAAAATGCTCTGAAGTTCTCATCCCCGAGAATGCCCCTAGTTTTGGAACAAGGAAGGAAATTTAGTTGTAAGCTTAGTTTTAACCTTCTGCAGAAAGATGCTGTTCGGATCTTTCTGCAAATGTGCAAATTAATATCATGAAGCTTCATAAGTCAGCTTTTGATTATTTGACTGGGTTTGGAGATGACCAGGAAGGGGAGGGAGTATATAGAACCCCAAATATAGCAAAGCTCTTCCCCCCTCCTTTTTTTTTCTAGGCATGAACTCAACAGAATCCAACTCTTCTGCCTCTGTTAGACCAAAGGTACCCAGTGACATCCAGGAAGGGACAGTCCCTGACAATGCAAGCTCAGTGCTGGGGGAGGAAAACGCGAACAAGACCTTCCCAAAGCTCCCGCTAGTCAACCACCAGCAAGGTCCTCACCACAGACACATCCTGAAGCTGCTGCCGTCCATGGAGGCCACGGCGGGGGAGAAGTCCAGCACGCCCATCAAAGGCCTGAAGAGGGGCCCTCCCCGGCAGAGCGCCCACAAGCATTTTGACATCAATGAGCATCTGCCTTGGATGATTGTGCTCTTTCTGCTGCTGGTGCTGGTGGTGATAGTGGTGTGCAGTATCCGGAAAAGCTCCAGGACTCTGAAAAAGGGGCCCCGGCAGGACCCCAGCACCATTGTGGAAAAGGCAGGCCTGAAGAAATCAGTGGCCCAAACCCAGAACCGAGAGAAGTGGGTGTATTACTGCAACGGCCACGGTGAGTGTGATTTTCTCCTTTTTTCTCTCACCCCTTTCCCATCCTGCCTTCCCCACCCTGTCCCTTCTCTGTCATCAGAAGGGATGGGACCAGCAAAACTCTCCCAACTTTCTGGTGTCTCGACTGCAATGTGGTCTAGCGTGGTCTGCAAAAGATGGCACCCATTCAGAGAGAACCGCCTCCCTGCCATTTGCCTTGGTTCCTTCAAAGGAGAATGCAGAATCGAGGACTCGGCTCCTTCAAAGGAGAATGCAGAATTGAGGAGCCGAGTGCGACTCTTTCGGACTTTGTTCAACCTTGTCTTTGAACCAGTGAGGGAATTGAGTTCAGAGAGTTCTGGTGGCGCCGACCCACACTGCTTGTTTTTTTTCTGATGGGTGGGAGTAGACTCTGTGTCTCCTCTGACTGTGGGGCCGGTCCCTTGTTTGCCTCTGCTTAGCTGCTGAAAAACAGAAGGAGGAAAACAGCGTGTTTCAAATTTGCGTTTTGAATCTAAACCTTATTTTAAATTCCCATCACTTTTTTCACCAACACCATGCTTCCCTTATATTTGGGGGACTCCGATCTGTCAAGAATTGAAGGCCTCTGGATTAGTATCGCTCCGAATTTTAAATGTTGGTCATCATCTAAGGCTGGGGCTCGGCATTTTGTTGAGTTTGGTGCTCACTGAGTGTTGATTCAGGCTGGTTTATTGTATTTTGTTGTTATTGTTGTTTTCCTTAAAAAATAGCTGATAGAACTTGTTTCAGCAGGCAAGGTAGATCCGTTTTCAGACTGTAGCAGTAACTTTCATTTCTCTGACTCCTAAACAAAATTTCAGCCTCAAGTTTTGGTAATACCATTCAGTGCCCTCTATTTTCTCTTAAAGGTGTAAACTAACTTCTCATGTTGAAGTCTTAGATTTGATTGCCAGCACTGCACGTACTGGGAATTCCCTCCCCTTGACTCCAGTACCATCTTCTATGGCCCTGGTGACCCTGAGCATCCCCATAGCAATAATCTATATAAATATTTACATATACTATAGATCACATTATAAAATGTATATTGCATAAAGTATATAACTAATTATATTATGCTGTATAATATTTTTATACACAGTGACATATGCACATGAGTAAAATTTCTTTCAGACTTTTTTCATGACCTTTCACTTCTAGATACTTCAGTGCCCGCTTCCTAAAATGAGGATACTCTCAGATGCAGAACAATTTTCAACCTTAGTGAATTTAATTTATTTTAATTCACATTTTATTATCTCATTCCTACTTTGGACATACTGGCAGGCTACCGAATGTAACCTGCCCACATGGCAGAGTCTGGCAAACTCCCCGTGGCGTACCCAATATGCCAAATATCAGTAACAATGATGGGTCTCATTCTCCTAAGTCCGAAAGAGCCTTGAATATGGCACTTTTTAAAAAATCTCAGGGCTAGGATGAAGGAGACGTTACTGGGGCCTGCTCGAGGCAATCAACGAATAACAGGATGGTCGTGATCGTGATCGTGTGAATTGAATATGGCTATAGTATTTTAATTTAACATCCATGTTTTCATGTTAGTTGACCTAGCAAGGACTTTGATATCTTTTTTCTTGTATAGGATCAGCTCTTTCTTTCATTAAATCACTTTTTAGAAAGTCAGAACATTGTTCTGATATATCTAATTAGTCAAAAAAATGCATAAACATTGTTAGATTATGTAAATATTTGGAGCTGTGCTCTCATTATTTGTCTTGTTAAAGAGTCCTCTGTTCCTATAGCTGTTGAATTTATGGATTAGCTCGTGGTCAGCTGTATTTCCAAACTCTTTACCAATGTAATTTTCAAAATTTGTCAGTACAGTAGCCGAAGTAAAACAGCAGCAGAAAGCAGTTTAATACCATGACCTTAGATATTCTTATAGCCACAATAACCTTGTAAACTACTGTGCTTGTGTCCTTAAAACAATGTCCTATTTCATGAAAAAGAATAGAAGTGCCAAATCAAACAAAGTCTGGCCATATCTTCTGTGAAAGCAGTACTTCAGCAATATGCTTTTCCAATTAAATCACAATGGTTTCATTCAGGTATGGCTCTCTCTTCCAATAGTTCAACCTTTCTCCTTGGGTTTTTGCATCAGGACATTTATACTTCAGGTGTTTTTTTGGGAAAGGCCTCTTCCTTCAAAATTGCTTGTCTCAAAGGAAAAACCAGGTAAGATCCCAACACAAAGGAAGGGTCTGTTTAATAAGAGTCATTCCAGGTGCTCAGAGAGGCCTCTTGAAACAATACATCATTGAACTGAATGGAAATGCCCAGTGAATCCTGGGGAACAGATAATCATGTATAATAAGATCTTTCTCTTACTGGTCCTAGTCTAATTCACATTGAATTGTTCTTCAGGAAGAAGGTGGGAACAGAATCACTTAGTCTTGGGTGTTCTCTGAAGAAGGTTAAATAACTCCTCACTTAATTCAGCCCATCTTGAATTATTGGGTGTTCTCTGAAGAAGGTTAAATAACTCCTCACTTAATTCAGCCCAATTCCTCACTTAATTCAGCCCACCATGCCCTACTCCCGAATGTCCTTCTAGACCCTCAGCACCCTGAAGTGTGCTCATAGATTCTCATCTTTCTCTTCAGCAAGAACAGCGTCCATTCATTCCTTTCTGCCTACCTTGGATTGGAGGTTTTTAAGTTGAACTTTGCAGAAATTGCATTCTCATTTCCATGGAACCCTACTGCTGAGGGAATATAAAATGATACTCCATGGGAGGAAGCTAGAAGACCGAGGTGCTGTGGTATTTTGTGTGCTTCCTTCCTTTCTGAAGTCAGAACATTTTCTGTTGGGTAGGTAGGGACCATTGTGGTTTCCTTTTATATATATATATATATATATATATATATATATATATATGAATACTGCTATTTATTCAGCCACTGATTATGCTGATTGAGTTGTGCGTGAACTCCACCCATTGTGGTTTCTTACAGGATATCTATTTTGTCACTAGGAATGGAAAGTCTTATTTTTTCTTTTTTTGCCTTTTGGGTCACACCCGGCAATGCACAGGGAATATTCCTAGCTCAGGAATTACAGGAATTACTCCTGATGGTGTTCAGGGTGCTATGGGGGGTGGGGGGGGACTTAAGGGGTGGTTGGGAAAATTGGAGATAATAGTGGTAGGAAGATGCAATGGTGGTGAGATTGGTGTCGGTACATTGAAAGTCTGTAACAAATCATCATGACCATATGGGATGCTGGGAATAGAACCCAGGTTAACTGCGTGCAAGGCAAATGTCCTATCCACTGTGCTATCACTCCAGCCTAGGAATGGAAAGTCTTTGCAGAGCTTTTATGCATAAGAAATGGAAGAGTCTGTTGACTGGGTCTGAGTGTCATCCAGATATGTCTGTTGTCCATGCTCGATTTGTTAGGTCATTTCTGTCATTTCTAGGTTACGTCATTTCTAAAACCTTTCTCCCTTTCTCTTTTTTTGAGTTTTGGGCCACAGCTGGCAGTATTCAGGGCTTTGCCTTGGTACTGTACTCAAGGATCACTCCTGGCAGGCTCCAGGGACCCAGTCTGGGTTGGCTGTGTGCATGGCAAGCACCCTATCCAAGTATTATTGCTCTGGTCCTAAAAACTTCCTTTGTGTGTCATAAACTCATGACACACAGTTATGAAGTGAAGTGGAGTTCCACAATGTTGTTTGTTTATGATGAAGAGTAATGCAGGGTCACATTGACTAGGAGCTTATATCAAAAACACTTCTTTTGCTTACACTGGTTTGTCACAACAAGCACAAAACTGAGTCTAGTAGAACAGTCTGCACACACCTAGCCATTATATTGAGAATATCTGACATGATTCCCCAAGAAGTCTCTTCCTTCATTGACTTATAACTATGGTAAAGAGAAAACGTACAGTGAAAATGTACAGTGTTTGGTAAAGCTCTTGTCTTGAATGTGACAGACTCTGGTTCAATCCCCACTATCATATCTGGTCCCCCAGGCACTGCCAGGAGTGATCCCTAGCACCAAAAGAAAGTCTCACCTGGTCCCAGTCTCTGGTAAAATTGCAGACACTGAGGATGGGACTAAAAGTTAACTCTTCCTTGGGGCTGGAGCGATAGTACAGCGGGTAGGGTGTTTGCCTTGCACACGGCCGACCTGGGTTCGATTCCCAGCATCCCATATGGTCCCCTGAGCACTGCCAGGAGTAACTCCTGAGTGCAGAGCCAGGACTAACCCCTGTGCATTGCAGGGTGTGACCCAAAAAAAGAAAAAAAAAATAAAAGTTACTCTTCCTAAAAATTAGAGGGCATTACCCGCATTACCTTTCTCGCTCTTCTCTCCTCCTTCTCTCTCTCTCTCTCTCTCTTTCTCTCTGCCTTTTTTCTTTTATGCTCCCTTCTCTCAACTACTTACAAAAAAGCAGGAAATTATTTTCACAGTTGCCCTAGGAATTTGGAGGGGCTGGGTGACATGCAGGAGAGAAGTGGAAATTGCCATGTGGAAGAGCCTCATCAGTGATAAAGGGAGCAAAAATGGGTGGGATCTCTCTCCTCATATTTATTTCCTTTATACTTTCAGACTTGAGACTGCAAGTGCAAAAGGGGGGTAGGGCAGGAGACAAAGGAACTGGCTTTATCTTGTTTAAAAGGTGCTTAGTTCCTGATTAGTATGTTCTTAGTTCAGTGCAGTAGGAAGATAGTGAGAATTTGACAGGGGCAGTCATCTCTTCTGATGTCACTGTCACTGTCCTCCCTCACTGTCCTCCCATTGTTCATGTTTGCTTGAGTGGGCACCAGTAATGTCTCCATTGTGAGACTTGTTCTTACTGTTTTTGGCATATCGAATACGTTACAGGTAGCTTGCCAGGCTTTGCTGTGTGGGTGAGATACTCTTGGAAGCTTGCCGGGCTCTCTGAGAGGGGCAGAGGAATCGAACCCAGGTTGGCCGCGAGCAAGGCAAACGCCCTACCCACTGTGCTCTTGCTCCAGCCCTCTTCTGATGT